ATAGGTCCTCTTAAAAATATTCTTTAAAAATCCACGCCTATACCTCTATAGGTCCTCTTAAAAATATTCTTTAAGGTCCTCTTAAAAATATTCTTTAAAAATCCACGCCTACACCGCTATGGATCCTCTTAACCGCTATAGGTCCTCTTAAAAATATTCTTTAAAAATCCACGCCTATACCTCTATAGGTCCTCTTAAAAATATTCTTTAAAAATCCACGCCTATACCTCTATAGGTCCTCTTAAAAATATTCTTTAAAAATCCACGCCTATACCTCTATAGGTCCTCTTAAAAATATTCTTTAAAAATCCACGCCTATACCTCTATAGGTCCTCTTAAAAATATTCTTTAAAAATCCACGCCTATACCTCTATAGGTCCTCTTAAAAATATTCTTTAAAAATCCACGCCTATACCTCTATAGGTCCTATACCTCTATAGGTCCTCTTAAAAATATTCTTTAAAAATCCACGCCTATACCTCTATAGGTCCTCTTAAAAATATTCTTTAAAAATCCACGCCTATACCTCTATAGGTCCTCTTAAAAATATTCTTTAAAAATCCACGCCTATACCTCTATAGGTCCTCTTAAAAATATTCTTTAAAAATCCACGCCTATACCTCTATAGGTCCTCTTAAAAATATTCTTTAAAAATCCACGCCAATACCTCTATAGGTCCTCTTAAAAATATTCTTTAAAAATCCACGCCTATACCTCTATAGGTCCTCTTAAAAATATTCTTTAAAAATCCACGCCTATACCTCTATAGGTCCTCTTAAAAATATTCTTTAAAAATCCACGCCTATACCTCTATAGGTCCTCTTAAAAATATTCTTTAAAAATCCACGCCTATACCTCTATAGGTCCTCTTAAAAATATTCTTTAAAAATCCACGCCTATACCTCTATAGGTCCTCTTAAAAATATTCTTTAAAAATCCACGCCTATACCTCTATAGGTCCTCTTAAAAATATTCTTTAAAAATCCACGCCTATACCTCTATAGGTCCTCTTAAAAATATTCTTTAAAAATCCACGCCTATACCTCTATAGGTCCTCTTAAAAATATTCTTTAAAAATCCACGCCTATACCGCTAAGGATCCTCTTAAAAATATTCTTTAAAAATCCACGCCTATACCGCTATGGATCCTCTTAAAAATATTCTTTAAAAAACCACGCCTATACCGCTATGGATCCTCTTAAAAATATTCTTTAAAAAACCACGCCTATACCGCTATGGATCCTCTTAAAAATATTCTTTAAAAATCCACGCCTATTCCGCTATGGATCCTCTTAAAAATATTCTTTAAAAATCCACGCCTATACCGCTATGGATCCTCTTAAAAGGTCTTCCAAAAATGTGTTTTTTTTATTTACAGAGAAACCATTACAGCGATTTATTGCGCACCGAATCCTATGCCGGTTCATCGGATATGAATTTACAATGTCAACGAGTTTTGGAATCAAAACATGCCCCGCTATGTCAGCATTTGTTGCGGAAAGGTAATACTCCGGCACCTTATCGTGGAGCTTTGTGGTCGTATGTTTTGGGTAGTCACGTAAATAGTTTTGTGAGTATTTTCCAAAATATCCGGAATATTTCAAAATTTCCATATTAGATTTTTTTTCTTTTAGGATATTGAACATTGGAATCGTTTAAAAGCCAATGTCTTGGCCACCGATCACATTGTCGATAAATTAGTCTTCAAAGATATCCAATTGACTGCCTCCAATGATGACCAGTATTTTGTCTTCGAAGATGTCCTCTATCAAGTGTTGTTGTGTTTTTCACGGGATACCGAAATTGCGCAGATGATACAATTCGAACATTATCCCATTAAGGGTAAAAGTTATGAGGCTCCGCCGTCGGGTGTGGTGCCATTTCATGGAATTTGTATGTTTGGTAAGATATGAAAATAATTATTTAAAAAAATATTCTTTAAAAAATCCACGCCTTGTGTAGGTCCTTGAAAAAATATTATTTAAAAAATCCACGCCTTGTGTAGGTCCTTGAAAAAATATTATTTAAAAAATAAAAAAAAATCCACGCCTTGTGTAGGTCCTTGAAAAAATATTATTTAAAAAAATCCACGCCTTGTGTAGGTCCTTGAAAAAATATTATTTAAAAAATCCACGCCTTGTGTAGGTCCTTGAAAAAATATTCTTCAAAAAATCCACGCCTTGTGTAGGTCCTTTTCAAAATTTTTTTTTTTTAAATCCACGCCTTGTGTAGGTCCTTTTCAAAAATATTCTTTAAAAAATCCACACCTTGAGTAGGTCCTTTTCAACAAAATTCTTTAAAAAATCCATGCCTTGTGTAGGTCCTTTTCATAAATATTCTTTAAAAAATCCACACCTTGTGTAGGTCCTTTTTAACAAAATTCTTTAAAAAATCCATGCCTTGTGTAGGTCCTTTTCAAAAATATTCTTTAAAAAATTCACGCCTTGTGTAGGTCCTTGAAAAAATATTATTTAAAAAATCCACGCCTTGTGTAGGTCCTTTTCAAAAATATTATTTAAAAAATCCACGCCTTGTGTAGGTCCTTTTCAAAAATATTCATTAAAATAATTCATGCTTCTGTAGGCCCTCTTTGTTGATCCCTTGAAAATCCACGCCTTTTGGGGTTCCTTGAAAAATTATTCCTAAAAAATCTCTCTCTATTTTTTCCAGCTGCCCCCTTTTGTTATCTCTTCGATTCCCCCATCAATTTATATTTCACATTCCGTGCCTTTTATATTCGTTATTGTCATCGGCTGACGACCATTAATACCCATCCTCAGGTAGGTTCGGTTATTTAAAGAACAAATATGTCCATATGCAAATGTGTCCACCTTCATTACAGGGTATTGTCAGCATTTGTCTGCTCTTCGAAAAATTACTGCAGACCCATGAGCCGCAATTATGGTCACATTTTCGTGAATTACAAATCCAACCGTATGTTGATTGACCAATAAAAAATTACCTTGTAATCCGATGTTTGCTTTCTTGTTTTTTCGTCTAAGGATCCGCGTCGTTTTCAAGTGGTTGATGCGTGCATTTAGTGGCCACCTGCCACCCGATCAATTGCTGGTGTTGTGGGATCTGGTAAATGCAAATTTAATTATTCAAAACTATTTCCAAAATATAAATTTTTATTATTTTTTAATGGACTACTTACAGATCCTTGGTTTCGACAGCCTGGAGATTCTTTCAATATTTGCCATAATTATTTTATCCTTTCGCAAGGAGAGTCTAATGCAAGTGAATTCGCTGGATAGCATAGAAGCTATACTGGCAGATTTATCTTCAATTCAGGTGCTGCCATTGGTCCAATTGGCCCTCAGTCGAGACTAGAGAGAGGCAATAAGAATTTTTTTGAAAAATTAGTAAATTTAGTTGAAATTGTTTTTTTTTATATATGAAAATTATAGTTCAATTTAAAAAAATTGTTTAGTAAAATTTTGTAGCAAATAAAACAAAGATGTTTTATCGTTTTTTGAATAATAATATAATTTTTATTTTCCAGTTTTGTTTGTTGTTATTTTTCATTCTCGCAGAATGTCCGTTTAATAAATACACATTTAATAATTTAATTCAATATATATACCTATTATTTTCGATTTTCAATTTTTTATACATTTGTTTGTTTTTTTTTTTTCATTGAATAAAATATTTTTTTTTACAATAACTATTAAGAGCAACAAGAATTATCGATTTGTTATATTTTTTATTTATATTTTTATATAAAGTAGGCTAGGGACGACATTTAGGACGTAATAATTAATCCATGACTAACTTATCAAAATCAGAAAAATGCCCACATTTTTTCCAAAGAGGTTATAATTCTTCGTAAATTCAACCAAAAAATTCGCATCTAGTGAGGACAATCCACGCTTAAGTAGGACCTTGAGAAAATATTCTTTACAAATATTCATTCCTGAAGGACCTTAAAAATATATTCCTTAATATATTCCTAAAAAGTTACGCTTCTGTATGAGATCCAAGAAATATTCTTTAAAACCACGCCTCAGTAGGACATCAAAACAGTTCTTTCAGAATCCACCATTCTGTAGGACCCTCTAAATTTATTTTTTAAAAATGCACTTTTCTATTTTAAAATTAAAATGTGGTGTCGAATCGAATTAACGTTTGGCATATAATTCACCATTTTAGGTCAAAACCAGTAAGGAAAGTAGTAAAGTCGAACTAGGCCGACTATATGATACCCTTCATCACTTTGGGTATATTCTACATATGTATCCCAACAGACGACGCGTTTTTGTTATATATTTATATCTGAACCGATTTCAGGGAAACTTGCCAGAGACAAATTTATATTACATCAGTACGTTGTGTCAATCGGCCTAGCTATGGATCTTTTCACGAAGCTTAACAACATCATTTTAGACATAATTCAGTACCCTATACCAAAATTCGTGCAAATCGAAAGATATTTAGGGTCCTTGGTGCACCAATTACCATAAAGCGGATGAAAATATATATGGAAGCTATATCTAAATCTGAACCGATTTTCACGAAACTTGGCAGACATCATTCTCGATTTTATTTATTACTCTGTTCCAAATTTCGTGCAAATCGAAAGATTTCCAGGGACTTTAGTGGACTATTTACCTAAAATCGGGCGAAATTATATATGGGAGCTATATCTAAATCTGAACCGATTTTCACGAAACTTTTCACACATCATTGTAGACTTAATTTAGTACACTCTGTCAAACTTCGTGCAAATCGAAAGATATATAGGGACTTTATTACACAATTTACCTTAAATCAGACGAAGATATATATGGGAGCTATATCTAAATCTGAACCGATTTTCACGAAACTATGCACACATCATTCTAGACTTAATTTAGTACGCTGTGCCAAATTTCGTGCAAACCGAAAGATATATAGGGACTTTGGTGCACCATCTACCTTAAATCGGACGAAAATATATATGAGAGCTATATCTAAATCTGAACCGATTTTTCCCAATAGGATTTTCAATAGGGTTCGTCCTTGGGTCTAACAAATGCGCTGTGCCAAATTTCATCCAATTCGGATCATAAATGCGACCTGTACTTTGTTTACAATTTAACATGGACAGACGGAAGGACGGACGGACATGCATAAATCAACTCAGAAAGTGATTCTATGCATTTTCTCAAAAGGAACCATGGGTCTATCTCGATTATTTTTGCCTGTTACAATCATATGCACAAAGACATAATACCCTGTACCACAGTGTGGTGAAGGGTATAAATATATATGAGAGCTATGTCTAAATTTACTCAGATTCTGACAAAATTATATAGGCTCATTTTGATACGCTGTGCAAAATTTTGTGTTAATCAAAAAACGTTCTGAGAGATCAATACTCCTTGCTTTTTGGTACCAAATCCATTTCAGACATTTTGGAGTCGATTTACAAAAGTCCGTCTGTCTGGCTCGAAGTTTGTTTATTTTGTACATCACAATATTTCGTCCAAACATAGATCAAATTCGATCAAGTCCACTTCTTCTGTAAGTTCCAACACAAAATTTTGCTGGAAATTTATTTTATAATAACATGCGAACGAGTTGAACCAAACTTTGTACAACCTATTATCTACCAAGCATTTATCAGATCCGAAGATGAGACCCATTGGTCCACTAAGTTCAGTACTTCCCCACTAAGGATCAAATTTTTCAATATTTATAAATGCAATATTAGGCGAATGGTATGTCGTCGTATATATATTTCTCTCCAACTTAAATTAGTTGCGAAGGTGGGGAACATCGGGCCACTTCTTCCGGACCGATTTAAAAAATGGATTCGTCTTTGGGCAAATTAAATGAATAATACATTTTGGATAACAAAAGCAACCTGTAATAAGCAACATTTATCAGATCCGAAGATGAGATCCCATTGGTCCATTAAGTTCAATACTTCCCCACTAATGATCAGATTTTTCAATATTTATAAATCCAATATTAGGCGAATGGTATGTCGTCGTATATATATTTATCTCCAACTTAAATTAGTTGCAAAGGTGGGGAACATCGGACCACTTCTTCTGGACCGATTTAAAAAATGGATTCGTCTTTGGGCAAATTAAATGAATAATACATTTTGGATAACAAAAGCAACCTGTAATAAAAATGAGTTCGATTGTCATATATCTACTAGCATTATAATTTGTAAACACGATACAGGCCACAGTTACGGACGAATCTTAACGAAATTTTCCATGTAGGATGGGTTTTGACCAATGAAGACCCCTATTGTTTTTGGTAAAGGTCGGTTAATATTTAGGGGATGAAATGGACCAAATACTTAATTTTTGTCGGGTTTAATGGTCGCTCCACAGGCCGAAATTATGGCCCAAACATCACGAATTTTTACATAGAGAAGGGGATCGGGCTAAAGAATAAGCATGCCTGTTTTGATAAAGATCGGTCAATATTTAGCGGGTCAAATGGATACTGAATTGTGTGTAAAATTAACAAAATTTGTATTCTATAGCGTAAATATTTACTTCTGAAGGACATATACCCGATATAATATATCCAAGAGTAGTGGTTGACCTTTAAATTGATGCCAAATATATTGTCTTATGTACTCGGATGTGGGAGTTAATCTTAAATATTTACAGGTGCTTACGTATTCATATACCCATTTTTCGTGAGGTTCCAGTTATGGTCAAGGACAATGTCTATAATTTTTGGTGATGATTAGATAATAATTTTGGTATGAAGTGAACAAAATTTTTTTGTTTTTTCAAGTCAAGTCAATCGACTTTCTGGGTCGATTTATGCATGTCTGTCCGTCCGTCCGTCTGTCCGTCCGTCCATGTATTTTTGTTAACAAAGTACAGGTCGCATTTATGATCCGATTTGGATGAAATTTGGCACAGGTCACTTAATTGGCCCAAGGACGAACCCTATTGAAGTTAGAGAAAAGCGGTCCACGTTTAGGCATAGCTCCCATATAAGGGTACCCCCCAATTTTCGGTATTTTGAGGTTATTTAGCACGTTTTTTAACTGAATTCGCTGAAATTTGGTACTTTGAGTTCTTATTGGGTAGCAAATCTCCCTACTAAAAATTATAAATATAGGTCCATTTTTTCGGATAGTCGGATATAAAGGTAAATGGTGCACCAATGTCCCTAAATATCTTTCGATTTCCACGAAATTTGGTACAGCGTACTGAATAAAGTCTAGAATGATGTGTGTTAAGTTTCGTGAAAATCAAAAATGCGACGTCTGTTAAGATTCATCTGTTGAATTTACCCAAAGTGGTGAAGGGAATCATATAGTCGGCCCCGTCCTACTTTACCACTTTCCTTACTGTTTTTTATAGAAAAAGTGTGTTCTCAGTAACGCAGACATTTTTTTCATACAAAAATATCTGTCCTCTATTAGTTAGGAAATAGAATTAATATGTCCACATTCTATAGAATTAATATGTCCACATTTGCTGCGGATTTTTAAAATTGCTATGAATTTTATTGTGGCGAAAGTAAGTAATAAGACAGAATTTTTCTATAGAAAAAATCTACAACAATTGAGCCTGGATTTCAAAAAAAAAAAAATCTTCATTGACTGGCAATACATTTTTTCTACAGACGAAAATTATCAGGGCACATTTATTTTTATTTTAATTAACTGAATTTAAAATTATTTAAATTTTTATAATAGGTTTTTTATTTTGAAAATAAGCTTTTTAAATTTTATAAGACCAAATTCGTTTTATTGATTATTATTTGTTTTAAAATATATATTATTTTTACAATTTTTTTCTTAGTTGGTTAAGCCTAGCTACAAATTTTTATAGGGGGTTTATTTTTAAATTATATGTATATATAGCATTTTATACTTTTTATTCATTTGTTTTTATTGTTGAAATACATTTGTTCGCTTTTATTTATAAACAATTTTAAGCAGTTGTATGTTTATTAGAAAATACATTTGTTTTGATTTCATTTGCTTAATTATTTTATTATATATATGTAGTTTTATATCATTTTTAAATAGTTTTATTTTTGTATTTTTGTTTATTTTAGTACTATAGGAATCTTTACTTTTGATATGAATTATGAATCACAACAATGCGTTTTGAAGTTTTGTATTTTTTTTTAAGACAAGATTTTTTTCAATGAACGTAGAATGTTTTGAAGTTTAAACACAATTTTGTTTTTATATATATATATATTTTTTAAATAATTAAAATATTTAAACATTTTTTTCTTTCAATAAAAGTTTTGATTAAATAAAATAATTATATTAGTTATTACATGGTATTTATTTATTTAATTTCGTATAGCACACATCATGGACAAAATTGTTTTTTTTAGCAAATACATATTTAATTGCAAATGGCAAAAATTCTAACAATTTATTTTTTTTTTAATTTTAATTAAATTTTATTTTTCTTTATTAATAGGTTTATTTTTTTAATTTGTTTCAGTCTTATTAAAAACAACAGAATATATATATTTAAACATATTTTTTATATATAACATGTGACTAATATTAAATAAAAATTTAAATTACAAAAAAAAAGAAAAATAATTAACAAAAATATCCAAGGGCAAACTAAAGCCAAATTTTTGTCATGGATCCCAAAAATATATATTCGAAATTCAATTCGATTTACATATTATTAGAACATAGGGCCACTATAATATATTAGTCGTTAATTTGAATGTGGTTTAATTCCATTTTTGTCTAATATTGAGATATTTAACGATTTGATTTAGATTTGTTTTAAAAATATATTGTTAAGTGATATTAAATTTGTTTGTGGCCTGTCTGTCCTTAATCATGATAGAACACATAATGTAATATGTTTTGTAAATTTTTCTAAACAATGTAATTTTCAAAATTTGTATCAGAATCTAAAAATGGACTTAAACCACTTACAAAATTAATTACTCATATATCAACTTCGTTCATGTTGGGTTTAGTACGCCCTTTGAATTGACTTCTGTCAAAAAATATAAACTCATAAAGCACACAAAAATAAAAATTTTACCAATTTTTGTTTATTTAATATTTTTAAATTAATTATTTACAATTATATATTTAAATTATTTATTTCAATTTATATTTTATTATTTTTTAATTTAATATATTGTTAATAAAATATCGCATTTTATTCTTTACGTTTTTAGTTTTATTTTCGAAGAATGTTTACGAAGAACTGAATGACAAATGGACAAATATTGGGTTTATTCAGTTGTTGTTTTGAGTTAATTTTTGTTGTTGTAGTTGTTGTTGGTACATATCGAATGCCAATCAATCGATGAATCTATGGATTATTATTTTCACCGCAACACTGTATGCAATCCATGCAGTTATGCTACCTGTTGTTACCCTCCGTTTTCTTATTCATACTCATAGATGTCACCTGGAGCTTTTTTGGGGGGAAATTTGAAAAATAAATTACGATTATAAAAATTTTGTAGTTTTACTATTAGAATTATATATAAGTAAACAATCACAGAAAAAATATTATTATGTAGGTGAACTTATAATGTGAAAATTGAAAATAAGTTGGAAAAGGTGAAAATGAAAGATATAGATAGTGAGTATGGAATGGAAACTGTGTTGAACATCTATTAATATTAAAAAAAAATATATATTTAGAAAGGGTTAAGGAACATTAATCTGTTAACAAAGACTGATTTTTTTCTATAGAAACCACTAAGGAAAGTAGTAAAGTCGGACTGGGCCAACTATTTGAAACCCTTCACCACTTTGGGTATATTCAACATATATATCCTATATTCTGTCCAGACGTCGCACTATGTCGCGATTTCATATTAACAGCGGAGAAAAATAGAAGGAGTTATCGTAGGTGGATGAAATTTGGTACAAGTGCTTATTATTGGCCTAAAGAATAAGTGACAAAAAAATGAATTGATCGGACCAAGATTTTGTATACCTCCCATATAATGAGTCTTGACAATTTCACTCATTTGGCCTATAAGATCTTTAATTTCCAACCAAATTCAATGAAAATTGGAAATTTATATCTGCTTAGGTCCATAAAGCAACTGACAAAAAATTGAATAGAACGGACCAAGATTTGGTATACCTCCCATACAAAGGGTCTTGAAAAATTCCCTTTTTGGGCCTATAAAATCGTTAAAATTCAGCCAGATTCGATGAAAATTTACAGTTTACTTAACATTTGGACGAAGACAATAATAATTGCTGCAATTTATTTGTTGGTTTACGATTCATCAGAACGCTTACCATACAAATGACCATGAATAAGTAACTATATTCCTTAATAAGTAAATATCTTATACTATAAAATCGTTATATTCATGATTCACCACTATATTTGTATTGTTATTTTTATTAATAACAACATATTTCATTTTACCTCAGTTACTTACATACATTACTGATTTATCATTCATCAGATTTTCAGAACACACAATTCAAAAGCATCCATGTAAAAGCAATATCATCCGGTAACATTTTTTCCAATAAATTGCAAATTTCATGTAAAATATTGTATGGTTACTATATTCCGAATCAGTCCTTCTACTTCCCATTCGCCCTCAATAAATTCTTTAATGCTATGCATAACATATTCGATCCTTAACTTCTAACTATTTCTTGAATATGTCACTAAAAAACGTAAACAACTTTATTAGCCGTATTAGCAGTCAATAGACTGACGGTATAATAATTAAGGCCTAAGGCCTAAGAGATGTACGTTTAGTACATGATTGAGCGAAACTCAAATATATGAATTTTGCATGTAAAATCCAAATTTTGAGAATCTGTTCAATACATGTAAGCAACTATTGGTATTAAAAATCATCTCTCTCATCTATATCAGAATATAAAAATATGTGGTTTAATGGGAGATTTCAATATTGTTATCGAGAGTTTTTAGTTCATGCGCATGTGTTTTGTTTTAATTTTATAAAATAATTAATATAATGGTGTTATACTAAATTTTGATATTTACTGCTAGTAGCATCAATGAATACTAAATATTATCTATATTCTAAATGTCAATGAAAAAACGTTTTTCATGCTTATTGAGAAGCTTGGTGAATAATGCATGTGGCTTCGTAATAAACAATTGAAATTTTTTTAATTATGCAAAAAATTTCATTAATGACATAACTACTTATTTAAAACTGCATAAATATTAATATATGTATTTGTTTTCGTTTAACATCGAACCTTCATGTTTGTTCCTTGCATTTGTGTTGTGTGTGTAGACCTGAGTCTTTTATATTTTTTGTTTTTTTTTTTTCAAATTGTGAAAAATAACAATATTAAACATTATTAAGAATAACAAAAATAATTTCAATGTAAAGGAAACAGTGAATAAAAACTGTGTTAAGAAGTAGTAAACAGAGTGAGGAACAGCAGCAAGTACATTAAACCAAAAGCAGAAACAATTGTATTTTAGACATAGAAAGACATACAGCAGTACGATCTCAATTTATTATTTGAATTTTACGGTAATATTTTCAAATTCTTTAAAAACATATAATATGTTTCAGTAGTTCAAATATATCAATTTCGTATAAATCGAGTTCGTACTGGGGTTTTTCATGGGAGGAAAGGGTGATGACTGAATTGTGAACTCTTAGCTTACCTGTAACGAGCGTATGGTATCTAATAAAGCTTTTTTCTCTTCCAATAAAATTGTAATATCATCTTGAGCTGCTTTCAGATAGGAACGTAATACATCGTTTTCTTGTTTGGTTTTTTGTCTGGAAAAAATAAATAAAAATTAATACAAATTTTGAGCCTTGAAAAAACATTCTTTAAAATATCTTCGCCCTGGATGAACCTTGAAAAAGCATTCTTTAAAATATCTTCGCCCTGGATGAACCTTGAAAAAGCATTCTTTAAAATATCTACGCCCTGGATGAACCTTGAAAAACATTCTTTAAAATATCTAGGCCCTGGATGAACCTTGAAAAAGCATTCTTTAAAATATCTACGCCCTGAATGAACCTTGAAAAACATTCTTTAAAATATCTAGGCCCTGGATGAACCTTGAAAAAATATTCTTTAAAAAATCCACGCCTTGTTTGAGCCTTGAAAAAATATTCTTTAAAAAATCCACGCCTTGTTTGAGCCTTGAACAAATATTCCTTAAAAAATCCACGCCTTGTTTGAGCCTTGAAAAAATATTCCTTAAAAAATCCACGCTTTGTTTGAGCCTTGAAAAAATATTCTTTAAAAAATCCACGCCTTGTTTGAGCCTTGAAAAAATACTCTTCAAAAAATCTACATCTTGTTTGAGCCTTGAAAAAATATTCTTTAAAAAATCTACATCTTGTTGGAGCCTTGAAAAATTATTCTTTAAAAAATCTACGCCTTGTATAGGACTTCAAAAAATATTCTTTAAAAAATCTACGCCTTGTATAGGACCTCAAAAATAGTTTTTAAAAAATTTACGCCTTGTATAGGACCTCACAAATAGTCTTTAAAAAATCTACGCCTTGTATAGGACTTCAAAAAATATTCTTTAAAAAATCTACGCCTTGTATAGGACCTCAAAAATAGTTTTTAAAAAATTTACGCCTTGTATAGGACCTCACAAATAGTCTTTAAAAAATCTACGCCTTGTATAGGACCTCAAAAACAGTATTTAAAAAATCTACGCCTTGTATAGGACTTCAAAAATAGTCTTTAAAAAATCTATGCCTTGTATAGGACTTCAAAAACAGTCTTTAAAAAATCTACGCCTTGTATAGGACTTCAAAAATAGTTTTTAAAAAATCTACGCTTTGTATATGACTTCAAAAATAGTCTTTAAAAAATCTACGCCTTGTATAGGACCTCAAAAAAATTTTTTTAAAAATTCTACGCTTTGTATATGACTTCAAAAATAGTCTTTAAAAAATCTACGCCTTGTATAGGACCTCAAAAAATATTCTTTAAAAAATCTACGCCTTGTATAGGACCTCAAAAAATATTCTTTAAAAAATCTACGCCTTGTATAGGACCTCAAAATATATTCTTTAAAAAATCTACGCCTTGTATAGGACCTCAAAAAATATTCTTTAAAAAATCTACGCCTTGTATAGGACCTCAAAAAATATTCTTTAAAAAATCTACGCCTTGTATAGGACCTCAAAAAATATTCTTTAAAAAATCTACGCCTTGTTTAGGACCTCAAAAATAGTCTTTAAAAAATCTACGCCTTGTATAGGACCTCAAAAATAGTCTTTAAAAATGCTAAGCCTTGTTTGAGCCTCGAAAAAATATTCTTTACAAAATTTACGCGTTGTTTGAGCCTCAAAAAAATATTCTATAAAAAATTTACGCCTTATATAGGCCTCCAAAAAATATTCTTTACAAAATTTACGCCTTCTATAGGACTTCAAAGAATATACTTTACAAAATTTACGCCTTGTATAGGACCATATTCTTTCTTTAAAACATCTACGCCTTGCATTCCGTTCCCTCTATGTATACTCACCTATATGCATCCGAATTCTCCTTGGCCTGTTGCAATTGCCTCCTCAGGTTATCATTGTCCAATTTGATTTGTTGCATTACCAGTTGCAGTGAAATCAATTCTCGATCACGTTCTCTTTCACGTGGCGTTGGTTCAGGTGTTTTAAATAAAGCTGAGGTAAGCGGATAGTTTGCGGAACCGGGACCATTGAGGTTTGTTTCTATAAAAGAAGGGAGATAAATTAATTATAAGTATAGATAACATAAAGTGAGGGTTGTCAGATTTTTAAGGGGCTCTCCGCCCTGGACCAGGTTGAGGGAAGTTCTTCAGTGTATATTTTTTTGGTCGGTATATTCTCCTACCTATTGGTTGTATATGAAGTAAACCATTTTTATCACGTTTCAAATGCATGCGGCCAATGGCCAAATTAATGGGCACAGGTCCGGGTGAGGTAATATTAACAGGTGGACGATCCTCGATTAGATTAATGCGAACATTTTCCAATGACACCTGCAATTAAATTCAAATTAGAATCCATTCCAAGAAAAATTCCATTATTCATGACTCACATTCACTGGCAAAGGATTCGTTGAGATCACTTCATCTTCGGCTAAATCGGCCAAACCAATAACCGTACTCATCGACAAATCCAAAGAGACATCACTGACACGTATATCGGCACTGTGGGATACCAAACTGTTGAGAGGGAAAAAATAATTAAATAATAACATTTGAAACCCTTTCGAAAATATGACAGTTCCGGGCAGAGAAGACTCGATCAAGAATTAAAGTATAACTTTCATTATGAGTTATCACTAATTTCGATCCGACTTCACTGCCCTGTAATCTAGTTTAAAATCTTCAACTCACCTCTGAAAACTCTTCTTGTCATGGACATTGACGGCCACATCACTCAACGGCTTCATTGTCTCCTCCAAACGCAGCCGTATGCAGGGTGGTGCTTCTGGATTATAAGGAGCTAAATTCCATGCTTTACAACGGGCTCCAAACTTATTCTAAATTATAGGATGGTTGGTTGGTTTTTGTACATTTCGGAAAATGACACACACACACGTTGGGAAAAAATGGAATGGAAAAAGAAAATAAAAAACACATAAAAATTGATTCGGAAATTGAGGTATTATTTTTTGTGGTTATATATTTTGTTTAAAACTAGATTGCACACCTAAAGCTAGAAGCAAAGCAAATTAAAAAATTTAACTTTAATATGTTATATATTATAGACACCAAAAATGTATAATTACAACGAAAAAAGAAAGCAACAACAAATAATACACAAATGCACTGAAGAAGTTAGACCCCAATTCTGTACAAATGATCTATTTTCGGTCCATAGTATAGTGTTAAATTATATTTAAAGTTAAAAAACTAATTTTTTCCAATACCAACAGAGATCGCAGTTTTTATAATAATATTTTTCAAGATCCACCCGAAGCGTAGATTTTTTATAGAATAGTTTTTAAGGCCCATCCAAAGCGTGGATTTTTTAATGAATATTTTTTGAAAGTCCCTGCGAAGAGTGAATTTGTTAAAGCATATTTTTTCAAGGTCCCTGCGAATATATTTTTTCTGGAACCAAAAAAGCTCGATTTTTTAAATAATATATTTTAGTTAAAGAAATTGTGTGGATGTATAAAATTTTTTTTTTGAAGGTCCACTCATAGTGAGGATTTTTTTTTATTTTTGCAAAGTCCATTCAAGAATGTTTACTATTAACATATCTAATACACAGAGAAAAAAATATGAAACATACATAAGCAAAT